TAAACTTTTATAAAATTATCAAAGAATTAGCACCAAAATACTTACAGGAATTGGTACCACTACAAACCCGTGACTCCACCCCCTACAGTCTCCGTACTGATCAGAATTACGTCTTAATTCCTGCTAGAACTGAGAAATTCAAAAGATCTTTTCTGCCTACTTCCATTGTTTCCTGGAATAACTTGCCATTAACTACACGAGCATCAACATCAATTGCCATCTTTAAAAAAGAGTTGGAGACGTTTTATCACAGCCCTCACACTCAACCTCACTTCTCCCACGGTCCGAGAAACCCAGCTATCCACCTTACCAGACTCAGACTCAACCGCAGTCACTTAAACTTTCACCTGTTCCAACATCAATGTGTGCCCAGTCCTGCGTGCAAATGTGGTCACTTCAACGAAACAGCTGTACACTACTTCCTACACTGCCCACTGTACACTGACGAACGCATTGACATGTTATCATCGCTAACTAACATTCTGCCATTTGACACAAACAACGTCACCGACAACACTTTATGTTCAACCATTCTCAGGGGTAACCCCTCATTGTCGTTTGTCAACAACTGTAACATATTTGATGTGGTTTTCAACTTTATTTTGCAGACAGGACGTTTTGTTTGATTTAGTTGATTCATTTTGATTTGTACACCAGCCTATTATGTACCCTTGTTATTTCTTCTTATTATTATTACTTTGTTTTATTGTATCCTTTTATGTGTGAGGAGAGGGCTGAGATAAGTTTTATAACTTTTTGCCTCATCCTCGGAAAATAAATGCGAATAAAATAAAATATGTCTGAGTTTATTGTTTATTGTTGGAATTATCATGTTACATGCGCTGATTTGCATAGGGGCAAGTTAGACAACATCCTCAAAAGAGATCATTAAAGAAGATAGGTAGACACAACATATTACGTGTTTTTATTTATCTGAGAAGCTAAGAGGCAGAAAGCTTCATACTTGATTTGTACCACTGTCTTATATGTCACTAATGGAGGTTTAATAAAGCACATAAAGCACGTAAAGTTATTACCTACAGCTAATTACAGGACACTTAAAAGCAAACAACATTAAACAAACAACGCTCTAGTGCATCTAGAACTAACATACATGCTGCTAACTAACTATAAATTTTGGATTGTAAGGATCTAGTATACTGCGGTTAGTTAAATGCAAATCAAAGAAAACAAGTTAACTAATAAGTGCTATAACAGGCGGACCATGCACCTGGACGTCAAATTAACGGTCTTCTACCGTGTAACTCCGTCACTATAGTCTAAAAAAACACAGTCGCATTCTTTACATGACTTCTAGTTCTAACCAACAGGTTACGGAGCATGCATTCGTAAAGAAAACAGTAAATAAGAGCTCAGGTCACATTGCTAAAATTGATCTACAAACCTCGCTACTGACTCCAATAATAGCACACAATAATACCTATAACAACCAAAGACAACTACAGGTAATTGACAGACGTCGAACGAACGATGTGGTGTCTTACCACGTGAATCTCTGTCACTATTGTCTAATTAAACACTCCACAATCGTATTTCCACTCTACTTGAAGTACTTCTAGATCTGATAACGATACTTTAAGTTAAAACTTTTGGTCCAACACAAAAAATTCTCTCACCTAGAGCTTTCGACCAATTTTTTAGTTCATTGGACCAAACGTTTTAACTTTAAACATGTAACTGCCAAAAGAGATGAACTTTCATGATAGTATAAGAAAACTTGTTTACAGATTAGAAAAACTGCACTCTCACCTTTATACACTATACATTGTACTTCTCGTCCTAAGAAACAGATTACAGGGCAATCGGGACATAAAATAGTTGTTTTCGTTGCATTTTCACACATGTTCAATTTCTCTTGCGTGAGTCCACATGTGCTTCTTTAAACTTACCAGCTGAATAAACTTTCTGTTACACTCCTTGCATACGTACGGTTTCTCACCCGTGTGAGTCCGCATGTGTGTCTTTAGATTATACAGCAGACTAAACTGTCTGCCGCACTCCTCACACCTGTACGGTTTCTCACCAGTGTGTGTCCCCACGTGTCTCTTTAGATTACCCAGGTTACTGAACTGCTTGCTGCACTCCTCACACCTGTAGGGTTTCTCACCAGTGTGTGTCCCCACGTGTCTCTTTAGATTACCCAGGTTACTGAACTGCTTGCTGCACTCCTCACACCTGTAGGGTTTCTCACCCGTATGAATCCTAATGTGTGTCTTTAGATTTGACAGCCAACTAAACTGCATGCCGCACAGCTCACACTTGTACGGTTTCTCACCCGTGTGAGTTCTCATGTGGCTTTTCAATTCATCCACCCTGCTGAACTGCATGCAACATTCCTCACACCTGTACGGTTTCTCACCAGTGTGAGTCCGCATGTGTGTCTTCAGACTGAACAGAATACTGAACTGTCTGCCGCACTCCTCACACGTGTACGGTTTTTCACCGGTGTGTGTTCTGATATGCCTCCTCAAGTGATCCAGTGTACTGAAGTAGCTGCTACATTCCTCACATTGATACGGTTTCTCACCTGTGTGTGTCCGCATATGTGTCTTTAGGTATGACAGTGTACTAAACTGCTGCCTACATTCCTCACACCCGTAAGGTTTCTCACCGGTATGAGTCCGTATGTGTCCCTTCAGATGATGCAGCCTGCTGAACTGTCTGCTGCACTCTTCACACGTGAACGGTTTCTCCCCAGTGTGAGTCCGCATGTGCCTCTTCAGACCACCCAGCTCGCCAAACTGTTTGCTGCATTCTTCACATCTGAATGTTTTCTCACCCGTGTGTGTCCGTAGGTGAGCCTTCAGACTACTCCTGTAGCGAAACTCCTTGCCACACTCGCTACACATGTGGGTACGCGGAGAATCCTCTTGTTTGGGGTTAGAGTCAGCTCTGGCCGCCATGTTGGTCAAACTCCTGAAAATCCAATATGTCAAATGAAAGAAATTGATAACCACGTACACTGCATGCACACTTACAAATGCGTAAATGTTATTGCAACTGTTTTGGTTAATCAACACAACTTGCGAATGATTTGCATGACGGCAAATAGATATAGCAAAACAAAATCATAGTTTGACACTTACCAAGATGCACTGACGCTCCAAAGTACTGCACGATGTTTTCACGACGACACAGATCCTCACGGCTGCAGAGTCAGTACTGACAGAAACAGAGCAGTCAGGGACGCGTTTATATAGGGACTGACTGGGTGGGGGATAAAACCGGTCCTGTGGTACTTGTACTTGATTACGACACAAAGGAAACCACCATGATGATTTGCATAGGGAAGAATTAGACAACATCGTTCGTAGGAAAAAGAGACCGAGTTGGAGACTAACAATATAGTTGGTGATCAATAAAAACAGCAACATATTGCGTGTCTGAATTCATTGTTAAAATTATCATGTTGTATGCGTTGATTTGCATAGGGACAAATTAGACGATTTCATTAGGAAAAAAATCATTAAAGAAGATAGGTACACATTACGTGTTCTGATTTATTGGTAAAACTGAGATGCAGAAAATTAGCTACATATGTATCTTACAGAAAACTTGGAAAACAAACAATATTTTGATTTCTTACTAAGTAACGTGCTGCATCTATATCTAAATTCTAAAATCTCAAATCTACATTGTGTATCTTACAACACATATTGAAAGCAAACCTCACCAACGTTTTTAAGGAATTTAGAACTACTAACATAGTGCTATCTAATTATACTAAGTATACTGTTAGTTGGAAGCAAATAAAACAAAAATAGCCAATAGGGTGCTGTAGCAGACGGACCATGCACCTTGACGTCAAACTTAACTCTGTTACAATTGTCTAAACACCCAACAGTTACATTTTACGCACGACTTCTATTTCTAGTCAACGGGCTACGGAGCATGGAATAGTAATTTTACAATGTATTCATATATAGGGTACAGTACTAGAAAACAGTAACTAAGAGGTACAGATTTCTAAAGGAGAACATCGCTAACGACTCATATGATACCATATGATAGTAATCTTTACATGGACACTAGATGGTTTTCGCTAGTGTAAGATTCCATGTCTACTAGACATTCAGACAACTTAACTGCCAAAACCTTTTGCTACATTTTCCAGCAGTGTTGGAACATTTGTAACCTGTATGAGTCTGTATGCATTTCCCTAAACTGCTTTCAGTGTTCCTCGCATCTGTTCGTCTTTCTCAGGTTCTCAGGACGAACGATCTTTTACAGTATAACTCTGTTACTATTGTCTTAACAGTCCACAGTCGCATTTTGCACACGACTTCTAGTTCTAACCAACAGGCTAGGGAGCATGCATTAGTAATTTTACAATTTAGTCATGTAGAGAGTACACTTTCCAACAACAGTAAATACATGTAATGGGTCACATTACTAGGAAAGGATCTACAAGCCTCGCTAGCAACTCAAAAGATACCACATAATAGTAATACTTACATGGCCACTGGAGAGGTTTCGTTGGTATGAGATTGCATATGAAACACACAGACTACTTAAATGCCAAAAGATTTTGCTTTTCCAGCTGCGTTGCAAACATTTCTCACCCGTATGAGCCTGCATGTGCGTTAACTTAATATCTGCCTAAACTGCGTTCAGCAATCCTAGCATCAGTGTGTTTTTTTTTCTCTCACCAGTGTGAGTGCGCCTGTGACGCTTCATACCAGACAGCTGACTAAACTGCTTGTTGCACACTTCACATCTGTACGGTTTTTCACCAGTGTGAGTCCTCATGTGTGTCTTCAGACTACCTAGCCTACTGAACTGCCTACCACACTCCTCACATCTGTACGGTTTCTCACCAGTGTGAGTCCGCATGTGTCTCTTTAGATCACTCAGTCGACTAAACTCATTGCTGCATTCCTCACACCTGTAGGGATTTTCGCCCGTGTGAGTCCTTATGTGTCTCTTCAGGTGATTCAGCTCCCTGAATTGTCTGCCACACTCTTCGCATCTGTACGGTTTCTCACCAGTGTGAGTCCGTGTGTGTCTCTTTAGATGACTCAGCTTAACAAAACATCTGCCGCACTCCTCACAACGGTACGGTTTCTCACCGGTATGAGTCCTCATGTGCTCCTTTAGATGGGCCAACCTGCTGAACGGCTTACTGCATTCCTCACATTTGTACGGTTTCTCACCTGTGTGAGTCCGTATGTGTGTCTTTAGATTACTCAGCTCACTGAACTGTCTGTTGCACTCCCCACACGTGTAGGGTTTCTCCCCAGTGTGGGTTCTGATATGCTTCTTCAGATCATCCAGCCTAACAAACCACTTGCTACATTCCCCACAATGATAAGGTTTCTCACCCGTGTGAGTCCGCATGTGTATTTTTAGAGTACTCAGCAGACTGAAGCTTTTGTTACATTCCTCACATTGGTAAGGTTTCTCGCCCGTGTGAGTTAGCACGTGTCTCTTCAGATGACTGAGGTAGCGAAACTCCTTGCCACACTCGCCGCACTTGTGGGTACGCGGAGAATCCTGGTGTCCAGTTCCACTCTCTCCCTCCTGTTGTTTCAGGTAACAATCAGCTCCGGTCGCCATGTTGGTCAAACTCGTAATCCTGCAGGAACATTGTATAACATGTCATATATCAAATGGAATTGAGTCTAAAAGTCCATGGTTAGAATTTTAACTGGACGGATGTCCTACATGTACTTGACTAAAGTCTCTACCCTTATAACGGCCGGTTTAACAGTATCAAAAGTAAGCCGAAATGTAGACACACACATTGTTCTTCACACATCTACAATGTAGTGAGACCTGCAACAAAGTGCAACATGGCCTTGGTCATACATAGAAAAATATAGGAAAACAAAATCACAGTCCGAACTTATAATTACCAAGATGCACTGACGGTCCAAAGTACTGCACGATGTTTTCACGACGACACAGATCCTCACGGCTGCAGAGTCAGTACTGACAGAAACAGAGCAGTCAGGGACGCGTTTATATAGGGACTGAGTGGGTGGATAAAACCGGTCCGCTGGGTTTTACCTGATTAGGAAACTAGAGATAGTATCTTCTTTCATGCGCCGATTTGAAATTCAGACAACATCATGAGATAAAAATACAATCACTTGGACAATAACTGTAAAGACAACAACATTGAAACTAAGATCAAGGGACGATTGTCTGCATACAATGGGGATCGTGTTGCTTCGTCAGACTGTTTAATCTTATTTAATGAAAGGTTCATAATAAATGGCCAATCATAGTTTTAAAAATGTACCAAACGCCTCCTTTAACTAAACTGTTTAAGCATTAAAGCTAGCGTTAAGTCCTGAATCAAAACGACCAGCCATAAATAAAATCGATGTTTTGTAGCTGTTACATATTTTAAAACAATATAACGTTTCATTAACGACTTTGGAACAATTTTGTCTGGCGCTTCCCAATTTTACAAAGAACGCTCGAAGGCTGTTATGTAGCTTCGAATTTCTAAGATTACGCCACACTTCAAGTATCTGGTACCACGACACTGAGAGTTCAGGTTGTCAACAAACCTCTTACCTGTCTTTCAAAACTGCCCAGAGTTAATACAGTGCCGAAGTAAGGCGGAAATCGCCTCAGATTGGAGAGAAATAAATGACACCACACGCACGACTAAAAAATGGCGGTTCAGCGTCAGCATAGGTCAAACCAATGAGGGCAAAGGTTAAAGGTGACAAACCTGATTACCCCGGTCCAGGATTCTGTTGTTACGGACGCCTTGTCGAATATAGAATTTTTCTGGTATATCAGTTTAAACGATTGTCCATGCTACAGTTAATAAAATTATAGTAAAATAGAGACGAAGAAAAATGAGGAAAAAGATATGATGTAGTAATGATGATGACTAGTTACGAGATATATGTTACACCCTGGTCTACAGGGTAAAGAGCATGGGGACAGGAAACATGGAAAAAATGACGATGGTGACCAATGAATACGGCACATAATGCGCTTTATTGTTGAAACTGAGATGCAAAAATTTGACAAATTTGTAAATGCTACATCTAGTTAACAGTACAATGGAAAAAGAAACAACAGTTCACTGTTTTTCCCTTCACATATTACAAATGTACTAATGTCATAATAACATATCTTAATCATTCAAACAATAAGGGATAGCAAAAGTCCTTGATAAAGTGTTACAATCGATAGGACTAATCACAAGTTTCATGTTACACACTGGCCTACAGGGTAAAGAGCATGGGGACAGGGACCATGGAAAAATAACAGCGATGGTGACAAATAAATACGGCACATAACGCGCTTTATTGTTGAGACTGAGATGCAAAAAGTTGTCAAATCTCTAACAGCTACCACTAGTTAACAGAACACTGGAACTGAGAGAAACAACAGTTCACTTTTTTCACTTCGCATTTTACAAACAACATTAATGTGCTGCAACCGAAACTAAACGCTAGAAAGCTAGTATATTTACAAATATTAAAACAAAGAAAACTACATTTCGATGAATTGATAACATACTTCCCAAAACGCTACATGCTTGTACTTGAACATGTACATGTAGTTGACTAAGTTAACAGACGGACAATGACACATTACGGTTAAACGAACGGTGTCTTACCATGTAAGTATTGTCTAAATACTACACTTTTGCACTAATTCTCACTAATCAACAGGCTACGAAGCATGTATTTGCACCGATCGTGATATAAAATCACCGCTATTGTTAACTATTACATTGGAATCATATATAGAATACACTACTGGCAGAAAAAGGGTACAAAAGCGGCTTCACTTACAATAGAATAGCATGCATCAAACAGAAAGCTTCAGTTGCATTTTTAACACATCTACGGTTTCTCCGCTCTGTGAGTTCCCACGTGTCTCTTTAAATTGCTGCTTGTGGCGAATTGACTGCTGCACTCCTCACATCTGTACGGTTTCTCACCAGTGTGAGTCCGCATATGTCTCTTCAGATCTGACAGTGTACTAAACGACCGGCTGCACTCCTCACACCTGTAGGGCTTCTCCCCAGTGTGAGTCTGCATGTGTCTCTTCAGATGACCCGGCCTGCCGAACTGCTTACTGCACTCTTTACACTTGTAAGGTTTTTCACCAGTGTGAGTCCGTATGTGTCTCTTTAGATCAGACAAGTTACTGAATGGCCGGCAACACTCCTCACATTTGTATGGCTTCTCCCCAGTGTGAGTCCGCATGTGTGTTTCCAGATTACTCAGTGTTCTGAACTGCCTGCTACACCCCTCACATCTGTACGGTTTCTCACCTGTGTGAGTCCGCATATGTCTGTTCAGATTACCCAGATCACTGAACTGCCTGTTGCACTCCTCACACGTGTAGGGTTTTTCACCAGTGTGGGTCCTGATATGCGACATCAGGCGAGCCAGCGTACCAAACCACCTGCCGCATTTCTCACATTGATACGGTTTCTCACCGGTGTGAATCCGCATGTGTCTCTTTAGATTACTCAGCAGACTGAAGCTTTCGTTACATTCCTCACATCGGTAAGGTTTCTCACCTGTGTGAGCCCGCACGTGTCGCCTCAGATAACTCAGGTAAGGAAACTCCTTGCCACACTCGCCGCACTTGTGGGTACGCGGAGAATCCTGATCTCCATGTTCATGTGTTCCCTCCTCATGTTTAAGGTGAGATTCAGCTCTGGTCGCCATGTTGGTCAAACTCGTAACCCTACAGGAACAAGTATGATTTGTCAATTTAATGGAATTTAGAATATGCTATACGTGCGGACTCACGCCGTTATACCGATAAATTCTTCTAAACATGCTGTTACAAAACATCACAACATACATGTAGCATATTCAGAACACGGCATATCATACAAGGGTACACTGTAGTACCGTACAAAGCAGCTACACTAGAGAACAACTCCAACTTACCCAATATCATTCAAGATTAAACTACTGCCCCTGCATAAATGAAAAAAAATCAATATTTCATTTAAATAAAGCTTCAAATGGGTCACGAAATTTATATGGTATATATATAACTTGCATACTGACAAATGCGCCTAAACATGTCAGTTACTGTGAGTTACATGTATCGGTTTTGGTTTATAGAAATTTATATTCGGGTTTGTGTGGCGTTAAAAGTGGTTTCGATCATCGGAGAATGAATAGCATGAATAGCCAACAATTAAAGGTAAGTTCTTCGTCCGCCGATTTGTAAAGCAACTTAAAAATACATGTAGATGCCACTTGGAAATTACAGATAAAGAAAAAAATGTAAAATTCGGTACTCACCAAGATGCACTGACGCTCCAAAGTACTGCGCGATGTTTTCACGACGGCACAGATCCTCACGGCTGCAGAGTCAGTACTGACAGAAACAGAGCAGTCAGGGGCGCGTTTATATAGGGACTGGGTGGGTGGATAAAACCGGTCCGATGGGTTTTACTTGATTAGGAAACAAAGGAAAGCACCATGCTGATTTGCATAGAGAAGAGTCAGACTACATCGCTCGTAGTAAAAAGAGACCGAGTTCGAGACTAGCAATAAAGTTGGGAATTGTTAACATACTATGGTTATTCCGCGGTTATGGGAATAAAAATGGAACTCCACTACACTTGTATATTCCTAGCCCTTTGCACAATACTTAGCAGGACTGATCCAGGATCACAGCCAAAAGACAAACAGGAGATAAAGAAATTACAGGTCACATGCAACTTCAGAACCGATTGCACATCTGACTGGGCCACTTTTGCTTTCATGATTAAGCACAGCGGGGCTAGCGGAACTCACGTCAGTAGCAAGAAAATGCTATTGCACAATAGTGGCACAAAGTTTTCACTGATCATGATTCTGATCTTAAGCGGGGATATTGAGATCAACCCAGGGCCTAGACCACCAAAGTTTCCATGTGGGAGTTGTAACAAGGCAGTACGTAACACCCATAATGCAATATGCTGTGATGAATGCGATAGATGGTACCACAGTGACTGCATTGGGCTATGTTCTCAAGTATACAGTGCACTAGAAACCCACCGATCATACTCGTGGGTATGTTGTGACTGTGGTATACCCAACTTTGCATCGGCCATATTCGATATCACTGATGAAACATTCCATTCAGTAAACTCATTTGACACGATGAGTTCTGACTCAAGTTTACCAGACGAAATCCCAATGGCTACATCCACTCCACTTAAATCAAAGCAGGGTAATTCTCAAACGAGGGGTCAAAGTCACAAGAGATCCAAAAGTAAACTTCTCCTAGTAAACTGTCAGAGTGTGCGGAACAAAACAGCTGAACTGGCGACAGTAGTTGACTCTTACAAGCCAGATATAGTAGCAGGTACAGAGTCATGGCTCAACCAAAACATAGCAAGTAGTGAAATATTCCCCAGCAACTACATAGCACACCGGAAAGACAGACAAACTGACCAAGGAGGTGGTGTATTTCAGGCCAACAGAGATGATCTAATTGTTACCCATAGGCCAGACCTTGACACAGACTGCGAGGTTCTGTGGACACAAACTCAACTTGTAGGAAGGAAACCACTGATAATAGGTACATACTACAGACCCCCATCAGACCAGGGCAATAGTCTGGATGAACTTGACAGGTCTATATGTAAAATGGGAGCAAAAATAAACTCTGACAATGTGATCATTCTTGGCGATTTCAACACCCCTGGCATCAAATGGGATACTACTGTAGCTGACAATAGTCAGGCATACACAGGCCAAGCAGAGAAACTACTAAACCTAATGGATAACCACGGGTTATTTCAAACAGTCCAGGAACCAACTAGAAATGGTAATCTCTTGGACCTGGTCTTAGTTAATAACCCCAACATAATTGAGAAGACCACAGTAGTCCCGGGGATAAGTGACCACGACATGGTTCTAGTGGACGTTAACCTGGCACTGAAACAAAACAGGAAACCTAAGAGAAAAGTGTACATCCGCACAAAAGCCGACGAACCAGCCATTAAGAAAGACCTAACGGATTATGCAACTAACTTTCACAAAAGAACTCAGGATATGTCAGTTACACAGAAGTAGTCAGACTTCAAAGACAAAATGAAAGACACGATGAACAAGCACATCCCAAGTAAGATAACATCAAGCAGATACAACTTGCCTTGGTTCAACAGAAACCTAAGGAGGCACTGTCGTAAGAAGCATCGACTCTATAACAAAGCTAAGAAAACAGGCTAAGAAGAAGACTGGAACAAATATAAGAGAGTTAAGAAGGGAGTTCAGAAAAGCATAAGACAAGCACACTCTAAATACGTGGCAGACATACTGGGAGAAGCTATAGTTGACAAACCTAAAACATTCTGGTCGTACATAAAAGGACTGAGGAAAGACCTTGTCGGGGTAGCACCCCTAAAGGTGGGAAATACCATCATCAGTGACAGTGGGAAAAAAGCAGAAGTACTCAGTTCACAGTTCAAAAGTGTTTTCACAGAGGAAGACACCACAGATATGCCATCTCTAGGCCAGCCATGTACTCCTCCAATGGAACATATAGTAGTTTCTACTGATGGTGTCGAAAAAATGCTTCAAGGTCTTAATCCCTCTAAAGCATCAGGACCAGACCAAATACCACCGTGTTTCCTCAAGTTGACAGCTGGTGAAATCGCGCCTGTTCTAACCAATATTTTCCAACACTCGCTAAACACTGCAGAAATCCCTAAAGATTGGAGGGATGCAAATATATGCGCCATCTTTAAAAAAGGAGATAGAGCGGTCCCCAGCAACTACAGACCTGTTTCACTGACCTGCATATCCTGCAAACTACTTGAACATATCATCCATAGCCAAATCATGAAGCACCTAGAAAGTTACAGTATATTAACGGATTACCAGCATGGATTTAGAGCCAAACGATCCACAGAAACACAGTTTATACTAACAGTCCATGACATAGCTGGCGCACTAAACAGTAAACGGCAGGTAGATTTAGCAATACTTGATTTCACTAAAGCCTTTGATAAAGTCCCCAATGGCAGGCTCGTCTCAAAACTGGAGTATTATGGAATCCAAGGCCCTACGCTGAATCGGTTAAAGGCTTTCCTGACCACCAGGGAACAAACAGTAGTGGTTGAAGGGAAGGCGTCGGCTCCAGTTAAAGTAGCGTCTGGGGTCCCTCAAGGAACCGTCCTGGGGCCATTGCTCTTTCTCTTGTGTATAAATGACCTAATTTATATACAATAATTTTCAGATTCCATTGCACAAATGTGTTTAAAAGTTGAAGTAAATGACAATTACATTGAGATTTTTCTTAAATAACGTGTGTAAAATGTTCTTTAATACCCTTTGAAACGATCACTTGGTGGCTTTATTCGATGGTTATAGCAACTGACAATGCTTTATCACACCATATTTACCTCGGGGCGGGTCATTAACCCTTAATTATAGCACATCTTGTGTGAAGGTCACCATTTAAAAAAGATTCAGGAGCCTTGATGCCTTTTACAATGAAATTTATTTTTCTATGATATTTTCTGCAGTACAGCGATATAGGCCTGCTACATTCGAGGCTGAGATACATTTTATACTTTACAGAGAACAATATTTCCCTGTTATTGCAATTGGTAGGGCAATCATTAAAGTTTGAACAGCTATTAACCCTATTTAGACCCGGCTTTTTGGGGCATGCTGGGACCGAGGGGGGCTTTTCCCGGCCCGCCCCCTGTAACTCACCAACCACTTGTCGTAGGGCCACCAAATTTTCAGAGAATAGTGTAGTAATAAAATTGATTTATTACAAGAAATTTGTGTTCTTATAACGACATTTGACGTAATCATGACGTCATTTTCGTGATTTTTTGGGTCAAATGGTAAAAAAAAATTTTCCGCTAAACTCAGTGAAATACAACCAAACTTGAACAATAAGTATCTTTGATGGAATGCTAAGGTCTACTTAGACTTATGTTGCCCCTGGCAACAATACTGGCGTCAAAATGACGTCCTAAAATGACGTAATGCATAATAAGTTGTTAGCCATGTTAAATCGTCAATCTTAAATTTTTGAAAGTACATTTCTTTCAAGATACAGCCTCAAAACGCTTGTTTTTGAGACTGAATTAATGCAGGGTATCACATAATAATCAATACAAATCACAACAATCAAATAATACACAACACGCATATTTGCTCCACAGATTTCTTCATGTTCAAATCAAAATTACTGAATTTTCCAAAAACAGATCTGTCAGAAACCCGTTGCCATTGCAACACTAAAAATCAATAATTTGTCTAATTAACTTGAAATTGGTTTTAAATAAATTACATGTAAAGTCACAAAATTTGATGGTTTTAGCGCAAGCCGTTCAGCGCTATCTGAGATGAAAGTTGGCCTCAAAAGCCCCCCCCCCTGGTCTGAATACATGTACTATATTAGGGTTAAATTGAAACTGCAAAATACAACCATGATTAATAAAAAGTCACAGATTCTGAAAAAGGCATAACCACAGTTTTTACAATGCTTTAAATTCAAAATATATATCAAAATATCAAACTCAAAATATATATTATTTTGCATTAAAACACAACATCACTGTCCCAAAAATGGCAGCCAGAGGCTGAATTGACATTGGGGCATCACATTAATAGTATAAAACGACATATTAAGTGATTACAATTGAAATGAAAAACTACAACTCATTTAAAAAAAAGACTCAGCACTGATGCCTTTCAAATGAAACTTTACATATTTTATACTTTCTGCAGTACATTGCTCTGCTATTAAAGTTACAGAATTGGTTCGTCCATGATTACACATTGTATTGAAATGCGCTGAAATGTACAATGCTTTAAATTCAAAATGAAAAACTACAACTCATTTAAAAAAAGACTCATCGCTGATGCCTTTCAAATGAAACTTTACATATTTTATACTTCCTGCAGTACATTGCTCTTCTACTAAAGTTACAGAATTGGTTCGTCCATGATTACACATTGTATAATTTACACAAAATCCCAAAACATTCTTTCCCTGCTCTTGCTAGGGCAATCATTAAAGTTAGAACAACTATTGAATTAAAAGTTAAACATTGCAAAATTCCACCATGATACAAATAATAAAAACTTCTAAAATACTTATTAGAATTGTGACCATTGTTACAATACTACAAATTGAAAGCAAAAAAAACTACAACTCATCTTGGAACAGACTCAACGTTGATGCTTTTAAAAATGAAACTTTACATATTTGTACTTTATTCAGTACATTGCTCTGCTACTAGAGTTCCAGACTACGATAGTACATGATTATACATTGTATACTTAACACAAAATGACAAAACACTCTTTCCCTGTTCTTGGTAGGTCCGTGA